CTTAGGGGAGAGGTAAGGGCTGGAGGCAGGTTGGGGTTTTTAGCCTATGTTGTTGTTAAGTGCTGTTGAGTCAATTTTGGCCTATAGCAACCCTGCATACGGTTTCCAAGGAGTGGCTGGTGAGCTTGAACTGCCGACCTTGCAGCTCAAATGACTTTGCAGTCTGACGCATTAGCCCACAGTGCCACACCAGGATTCCTACGGACGACCTTTAAAGTCCTGAGACTGGATCTGATCACCTAGAATGCAGTGGAGGCTTGGGGAGTGTGTCCTGGGGAAGCCCCATTTAAAGGACCCATAAGGGGGAAAAATCCCAGAATCATTCCTTGGGACAAAGAGACTGACATATGATAAATATTGCCAAATACTGCTAAAATAGTCTTCTGTACCTTCATAGAATCATCTTGTTTTAGCTCTTTAAATGCACAGTGAGTGGGACTGTCCATAGGAATGAGTAGGAAGCCTCGACTGCCTTTGCACTGGACTTGGGATGTAAGGGAGGGAAGCCTCAAATCACACTAGTGGAAACAGGCTGATGCTCCCAAGTGCTCCCAGCCACAGGACTGCCTAGCAAGTTTGTTCCTGATGCAGAGTTTAAGTAAGAGCTACTGATTCACTGTCTGGGGTGAGGTGTGTTTTAAACAAGTTCCCTCTAATACAAATGAAAAGTTGAGAAACCTGTGGTTTAGGGATAGACTGGGAGAGGGTGTGTCCTGGTGACGTCTTTGCATCTCCAGAGACTCTGGTGGATCCGGAATCTGAGGTGAGTCTGGGTGGAGAAGTTTCCGGATGACCCGATGGCAGAGGATTGCTGGGCAGGAAGAAGCATTTACTCTCGAAGTGGAACACTTTCCATTTGTTCTTCAAGTCAGAATAAGGCCTTTCTCTCAAACGAGATGGATTGGCACAGTGGCAGGAGCAATGGGCTCAAACATAATAACAATTGTGAGGATGGATGGCACAGGAGTGGGCAGTGTTTCCATCTGTTGTATATAGGGTTGCATGAGTTGGAACCCACTGGACTCCAAGGCACCTAACAACAACAACCCAAGTAAATGTAAATGTACCTTCTTTATTGTAGATGCTGAGTTTAAAGGTTTAACTTCCCTAGGGGTATCTAGAGTCTTGGTATAGCCCTGTAGGATAATTGGACTGTTAACTACAAGGTCAGTGGTTCAAACCCATCAGCCGGTCCTTGGAAACCCTATACATGGTTGTTATGAGTTAGAACTGACGTGCTACACAATGACAGGAACATCTACCTTACCCCTTCCAAACCCCACTGCCATTAAGTTGATTCCAATGTTGACTCTGTTGGATGGAGTCGAACTGCCCTAAGGGTTTCCAAGGCTGAATATCTTTACGGAAGCAGGCTGCCAAATCTTTCTCCTGAGGAGTGGCTGGTGAGTTCCAACTACCAACTTTGATTAGCAGCTCAGTTCTTACCAGTGCGCCACCTACATTCCCCTCAGCGCCCCCTTCCACCCTGACCCCCGTGTCCTTATATGGAAACAAGAACACATTTTTCAGTGAAAAGAAATTGTATCTATACTTAGATTAAACACAGATTTCTGTTTTATTTGTGTGAAAATTGCTAAGGAATAATGGAAGAAGTTTATTAGGCATTCTGGAAGAAGCTAAACCAGCATTTATTGCGCCTACTGAATGTCAGGAACTATTTTAGGTCCTGAAGATAAATCAGGGACCAAAATAAACTGTCTGCCTTCACAAAATGGACATGCTAGTTAGGAGACAGATTAATAAAGATTTGTTGTGTTAAATACCATTGAGTTGGTTCTGACTCACTGAGACCCTGTATAGAGTTTCCAAGGAGCTACTGATGAATTTGAACTGCTGACCTTGAGGTTCAAACTGATCTCGCAGTCCAACGCCACACCAGGACTCCAATAAAGAAGTTAAATAAGTAAAATGCATTCTATGAAATACTTTGACCTATATGTAAAATATAGGACTGAAGGGAGGTTCATTAACAATCTGTGCTATGCAGATGACCCGACCTTGTTTGTCAAAAGCTAAGAGGGCTTGAAGCACTTGCTGATGAAAGTCAAATCATACAGCCTTCAGTATGGATTACAATTCAATGTAAAGAAAACAAAACTTCTCACCACTGGACCAATAAACAATATCATGATAAATGGGGAAAAGATTGGAGTTGTCAAGGATTTCATTTTACTTGGATCTGTAACCAGCTGCTCCTCAGAAACCATATACGGGGTCGCTATGAGTAGGAACCGACTCAAATGCACTCAACAACAACAATAATCAGGAGGCTTTCTGCTCCTGTAAAGATTTACAGCCTCAGAAACCCTGTACAGTGTCGCTATGAGTCAGAACCGACTCCACGGCACAAAACCACCATCGCCATAATCAATGAGCGCCACACCAGGACTCCGCTCATGGAAGCAGCAGTCACAAAATCAAACCATGTATTGCACTGGGCAAATCTGCTGCAAAAGACCTCTTTAAAGCACTAGAACAAAGATGTCACTTTGAGGACTAAGGAATGCTTCACCCAACCCATGGTATTTTCAATCACCTCATAAGCATGCAAAAGCTGGACAATGAATAAAGAAGATGAAAGAATTGATGCAATTGGGTTATAGTGTTGGTAAATACTGAAAGTACCATAGACTGCCAAAAGAACAAACAAATTTGTCTTGGAAGAAATCCAGCTAGAAGGCTCCTTAGAAGTGAGGATGGTGAGACCTTTGTCTCAAGTACCTTGGACATGTTATCAGGCAGGATCAGTCCCTGGAAAAGGGCACAGTGACAGCAACAATGGGCTCAGACTAAACAATGGTCGTGAGAATGGCATTGGCATAGGACAGGACAATGTTTCTGTTGTGCCAGAGTAGATAGGAGTCAGAGTGGACTTGACACATAACAACAATATCAATGTAAAATAAGAAAAACTGTTACTAATCAGATAGCAGTGAATGCTAAGAAAAAAGATATTAAGTAGAGAAGGAAAACAGGAAGTGTCGGTGTCTAAGAACAAGTGAGAATATAGGCCAAGAAGGAATCTGTGAGCCCTGTGGCAGAGGAAAGTAACTCACTTCTCTGGATGTGTTTCTTCATCTGTCAAATGAGAACAAATAGCTCTTTCCTACAAAAAGCTCATGACTTCAGACTGACTTTGTCACTTTTAAGCTATGGGACACTGGGTGTGTAAGTTCTTGAAACTTTCACAATCCACATTGCTCATCTGTAAAACAAGCATGCTTGTCCAGCTTGTTACATATGATTTTTGAAAATACCAAATGAGATAATACATGAAAATATTTGAAAACTTATAACCTACTATATAAATGTTGTTGTTGCTGTTAAGTGCCATTGAGTCAGCTCCAACTCATACTTTATAGAATTACATACAAGTTATCTATCTTATGGGCTGCAAATCTCTTGTTAATGGTCAAAAACCCCTCAGAACTGAAGGTAACATTGAATGAGATAACCATCCCTCCTGACTCCCTGCTTTGGAAGGGAAAAGGCCAGTACAAAGTATCAGGAGATATTGAGTGGACACCAAGAGTTGAAATCAGCACAAGAGCAACTTTTTGTGTTTTTTATTGATCAGACTAACAATCTATTTTAGGCTTCGGGCTGAGGCTGTGGGTGTTTTGCAGCCACTGCCAACTCTTTGACGCCTTGGTGGCAGCTGGGACATTGAGATGCTCGAGAGGAACTTGAGAGACAGAGGACAAACTTCCACATCGGAGACCCAATAATCAAACTGAATGTTCCCAAGTAGACACCTGATAAAATAATTATTATATTTATCAAATTTAAAAAGGTTTTACAGCCATTTTATGGTCTTGTTTTGCTTGTGGGACTTCACTTCTAGGAAATTTACTAGACAGACTGAAAGGAATGATAAAGAAAAATCATTTAAATGCCTTAAGACAGTCCATCTTCTGGGTATTTCTGTTGACAATGAATGTTAACCAAAGTAGACAATGATTCTACACACAGGTTGTTGTATATTGCCTATTCATCTTCTTATCTTCTTCTGCCCTGGTAACTGATAGCATCCCAATAAGGGTTTGTAAAATTAATAAATGTGTTTGGTATGCATGCATGGTCTGGCACATAATATTCAATACATTATCTGTTGACCATATTGCACATTTTTACCATGTAAATTTGCTTACCATGAGTTAGTCAATATGATACAAGGGTTTGTGTTTCTAAAACACACAAAATAGCCCCCTCCCCTAACAATGCATGGCTGGTTCAACTTAAATTCAAATTTTAAATTTAGTTTGAATACAAGGGATCTTTCTGAAGGTCTGTCGTATAACCGATCATAGTAGACGCTCCATATTGGCTAAATAAATAAAATGCACAATCAGGAAGTCAAACAGTTACTCCAGCCCAAATAACACGCAAAGTGCATAAACTGGACGTCTGCTCAGCTCACATTCACCAGGTTGACCGCTACACCTTCTCTGAGGAACTGGTTCCCCACTCGTCCAAATTCGGTTTGGAATGTTTCCACTCAGCTTCCCAGAGTTTTCACCTTTCTGTTTCTAGAGCGTTTCAATGTTCCAGCTGTCACTAAAACGCCTGGGAGCTTAGGCAGAGTTCAGGCACCGCGGCCAGAGACCAGGTCTCAGGGCCGGTGGGCGGGCCTGGTGAAGGGCCTTGTGGCTGTTCCTCATTGGGGCATGGTTGCTATAGTATCATCGACCGTAATACTGGAGTGAACAGCTTCCGGAAAGTTAAACGAGAATTACTTCCTGTATTGCCCATACATGCTATGGCCGAATCGGAAGGCACTAAGGCCCACAAAAACTAAAAGCTTGACTCTGGCATCTACTACATATCCTTTAACCACTTTAGTTTGTGATCTTGACATGTTACTTTATAATTTTTTGCTTCCAAAATATTCTCTGGCCACTCTTCCTTTATATGCCAGCCTTCAAAATGGCGCCTATGGCGCTGGCGGGTCAGAGGTGAGTCACATGGGTCTTCCCGGTTCCGGCTCGGCTGAGGCCCGGGGTGGTGAACAAGTCTCCGGCACCATGTCTGGTTGGTCTGGCCTACTTTCTCGGCGTGGCCCTTGCCCGTTGGCGTTGTTGCTTTTGCTCCTATTCGGCCCCAGCTCGGTCCTCGCCATCTCCTTCCATCTGCCCCTTAATTCCCATAAGTGCCTCCGCGAGGAGATCCACAAGGACTTGCTGGTGACGGGCGCGTACGAGATCACCGATCAGTCTGGGGGCGCTGGCGGCCTGCGCACCCACCTCAAGGTGCGGCCCTGGGCGGCGCGGGGCCGGGCGGGAAGGCTGCAGGCGTGGGCAAGGGGAGCTCCGGGTTCGGGGAAGTCGGGCCGGCGGAGACCTCCCGTGGGCGCCCGGGCTGGGCGGCGGACACCGCCCCCTCGCCTAGTTGGCCTTCTCAGGGTGGGGCTGGCCGTCTGTCTGTGCCCGGGAATTCTCGGCACCACGAGGGGTGGTGATGGCTGAGCCGGGGCGGCCTCGACGTGGTTTCTGTCGTGGCTCGTGTCGCATGCTGTAGTCTCGAGCTGCAGGCTGCTTGGTTCTGCAAAGCAGTCTTTGGACGTTGAGTATTTGCAGGGAGTGATTGACTGTAAACCTGCAGGAAAATGATGGGAGGCACTTGACGCTAACGGTGAACAATAAAACCTATTTGTGGAGTATCTGCTGCGTGTCGGGTCCTGGGTACTTTACCACCCTTTGAAATAGGTACAAGAGGAAACTCAGGCTCAAAGAAATGGCATGAATTGATAAGTATTGGAGATGAAATTTTGATTCCCAGTTTGGGAGTTAGTATGTTGAGGGGAAAGTGCTGCCCTCTTATTCTCTGTGGTTTCATCTGCAATTTCTGTGATTGTTGAACGGCAAATAATTGGTCACAGAATGGTCTCCGTCTCAAATTCTTGCCCTTTGATGCTCCAAAGTCTGGACTTGGCAAAGTTTTGCCTAAATCTCAACAATACTGATGGATGCTAACAGCTGCTACCCGAAAGCCAGGTTGGTCCCATTTGAAGTTAGGGTGGCCTGGCCTGCTCATTTCAATGTTAATGTAATTTGGTATGCCAGTCCAGGTTTTATGGACTTGTCAGGTCATTTCATTGATTCACAATAAGCATGGTAGTTTTTATGTTTGTGTTTTTTTTGTTGTTGTTTTTTTTAACAGAATGAACTTTTCCTTAAGAATAAATAGAACCATTTTTGGCTTCTAAACAGAGCTTCAAGTTTAAACCAAAATTTATGTTTAAGATCTTGGGATCCAGAACCAAACCAGTTGTCAACTGAGGCAGCTAAGACTGGGTGATATGTGTATGACAGTAGAACTGTGTTCTGTAGGGTTTTCAAGAGCTGATTTTCCAGAATTAGCTCACCAGTGCCTTTGGGTGGACTCAAACTGTCAACTCTTAAGTTAATAAAGACGCTCCAGGTCTTTTCCTCCAATTTTAAAATCAATATTGTAGCACTTCCGATTTACTCTTTGACCTCTGCTTCCCTCATTACATCTCCCTTGTGATTACAATGAGACCAGATAATTTGGGATAATTTCCTCATTTAAGATCCTTAATGTAACAATCATGTCTACAAAATTCCTCTTGTCATGTAAGGTAACCCTTTTATAGGTTCCAGGCATGAGGAGCCCTAGAACCCTTTGGAGAGCCTGCATTTGTTCTCGAATTGTAGCTTTGGCTCCTTTGTCCTTTTGACACCAGCATACTACCCACTGCTGTAAAGCTTCCAGTCAGTTTTTCATTAATGAATTAATTTATGATGATTTCTGAAAGTAATTTTTCAATAAATTTGTAAAATAATTTTCTAATTTCATCTTTGTTGTTAAGTACCATGGAGTTGGTTCTGACTCATAGTGACCCTGCGCAGGGTTTCCAAGGCTGTAAGTCTTTTCGGGAGCAGAAAGCTTCATCTTTCTTGCGCGGAACTGCGGGTAGTTTCGAACTGCCGACCTTGAGGTTAGCAGCCCGATTCATAACCACTATGCTACCACAGCTCCTTCCATCATTGTTGTTGTTGTCAAGTGCCGTTAGGTCGATTCCAACCCATAGCGACCCTGTACAGGGTTTCCGAGGAGCAGCTGGTGAGCTTGACCTGCCGACCTTGCAGTTCAAATAGCTTTGCAGTCTGGAACAGTAACCTACAGCGCCACACCAGGACTCCATCATTACTTCCATATATATTAACTGGGATTATTCTGTAAAGAATTCATTCAGTTGTCATTGAGTTGCAAATGTGGAAGCTGTGTTGGCAGGTGTTTGGTGTGTATGTTTTCACCACAATAAAAAAAAAAAAAGGGAAAAAATCAAAGAATCTATTAATGAAGGCCATTTGATTACCTTAAAATTTACAATTTGCATAGGATACAATTCACTGCTGTTGAGTGGATTGTGACTCATAGTAACCTTATATAGGCTAGAGTAGAGCTGCTTCTTGGAATGTCCGAGGAGCAGACAGCTTCATCTTTCTCCTGAGGAATGATGGCTTCAAATTGCTGACCTTGTGGGTAACAGCCCAATCAATAGGTGACCCACTAAGCCGCCAGGCCCCCTGTATTAATTGACAGTATTCAGTCAACAAGTGTCGCTTCCAGTGTTGCCCAAAAAGGGTTTTTGTTGTTGTTTTTAGTATTACAATGAATTTATTTTTCCATTTGTCTTTTTGACATCATCCTACTAGCCTTTTATGGCTTTCTTTTCTAGCACTACTAGCCTTTTATAGCTTTCTTTTCTAGCACAAGATGCCCCAAACTCACTTTGCATATGTCCCTGTCCCCCCCCACTGGGTTGTGGTTCATTTTTGTGGAAAATGCGATTAGCAACCACAAGCTTGGTGTAATTTAAAAACAATAATGCACTGGCAGGTCACAGAATACATTTGTGGACTAGATTCTGTCCTAACAGTTTACAACCTTTTTCATAATATCTGCTCACTTCATTTTTGCTTCTTTATTTTAAAAAAGCAGTTGCTGCCAAATTGATTCTAACTCATGACGATTCCGTATGTGTCAGAGTAGAACTGTACTCTGTAGGGTTTTCAGTGGCTGAGTTTTGGAGAAGTGTATCACCAGGCTTTTCTTGTAAGTCACCAACCTTGCCATTAACAACTAAGTGTGTTAACTGCTTGTACTACCTAGGGACTCCTCTGCTTCCTAAGGAAACTTAAACATTTTACTACTCTCCCTCCATGTATCACCGTTACTGCTGCGTGCAAGAATCCGATTGGCTTAGCTCATTTTTTTTAATTGTAGACCACATCCTGAGTCTTTGATCAGCCTGTAGGTTGTCTTCTCTTGGTCATATGCCCACCCCAGTCTTAACAAGTTGGTCTGGGTTGAGGTGGCAGGAGAACCAGGAACTTCCTGTGATACAAAACCTGGACTTGGCATTTAGTGGTTGTTGTGAATTGGGAGCTCTGGTGGTGCAGTGGTTAAATGCTCAGCTGCTAACTGAAAGACTTGAAGCTGGAACACACTAGCTGCTCTGCAAGGAAAAAAAGTAACAGTCTGCTTCCATAAAGATTAAATCGAAAAAACGAATGAATGAATTCTGACTCATAGTAACTCTATAGGACAGGATAGAACTGCTACTTATTTAGGGTTTCCAAGGTTGTAAATCTTTATAGAAGGAGACTTCCCCATTTTTCTCCCACAGAGAAGCTAATGGGTTCAAACCAGCATAGCAGCTCACCATGTAACCCACTACACCACTAGGGCTCCTTTCATAAAATGTGTTGTTACGTGCCATCAAGTTTTCCTACTCATAGCAACCCTGTATAGAATTTCCAAGGAGCAGATGGTGGGTTGGAACCGCTGACCATGTGGTTAGCAATCCAGTGCTTATCTTACAGCGCCATACTGAGTTACAGTCTTGGAAACCATATGAGACAGTTTTATTCTGCCCTACAGGATCACTATGAGTCAGAATTGATATAATTGGGTTATGGGTGAAGGAGACAACTTCCCCTAGAAGGATCTCTGTGATTGTAATGCTTTGATTAACCTGACTCACCTTCCTGTCTAGCAACAGTAAATACACCTATGCTATCATATATCACTCTGTATTGTAATTACGTGCTTGTCCATCTTCTCAGAGAGACTGTGAGCTCCTCTCATCAGTGCAATGCTTCTTTCTAATCCAGAGCAGGATTTCAACATAAGGAATGAATGAATGAGTGGGCACTCTCGGGCCTTTCTCCCTTCCTTCCTCTTCACATCTCTCCTACTTGTAAGTTATGAGTTGTGCTGCTGCCAAGCCATCAGTTGCAATCTACCAACTTCCTCACAGGAAGGAGAAAGATGAGGCTTTCTGCTCCTGTAAAGATTTACAGCCCCGGAAGCTGTATATGGGGTCACTGTGAGTCAGAACCGACTCCATGGCAGGCACACAACCACCGCCGCTCCCGACTATAGCCATTCTATATCAGTGTATTCAGTTCTTTGAATATAATGTTCTCTCTCCCAAACCAGTGTGATGCTGCAGGGTAATGCACTGGATTGCAATGTCAGTTTGGGCTGCAAGATCGGCGGTTCAAACCCACTAGTTGCTCCTCGGAAACCCTATACAGGGTTGCTGTGTGTCAGGACCGACTTGGCACTTAACAACAATATACACACTATTGAAGTCCTGTGGGTTAATGTGCTGGAAAGTCAGTCTGAACTGCAAGGTAGGTAGTTTTGGCTCACCAGCCGCTCTTAGGAAACCCTATACAGGGTTGTTATGGGTCGGAACTGACTCGACAGAACAAGAACATACTATTGGAGTCCTGGTGTGGAGTTGTGGGGTAAAACACTAGACCTCAAGGTCGGCTTGAACCTAAAGGTCAGTGGTTCAAACTCACGAGCCGCTCCTTGGAAACCCTAATACAGAGTTGCTATGAATCAGAATCGACTTGATGGTACTTAACAACAACAATACACACTATTACGGAGTCCTGGTATGGCACCATAGGATGACCACAAGGTCAGCGTGAACCTCAAGGTAGCAATTCAAATCCGCCAGCTGCTTTTTGGAAACCCTGTCTATACAGGGTTGCTATGAGTTGGAATTGACTCCACAGCACATAACCATGACCACCATACACTATTATGGAGTCCTGTGTGGTGCTATAGGTTAAGTACTGGACTGCAAGGTCGGGTGAACCACAAGGTCAGTGGTTCAAACCTACCAGCCTCTCCTCGGAAACCCTTTACAAGGTTGCCATAAGTCGGAACTGACTCAGTAGCATTTAACAACAGCAACATACACTAT